AACTGACATAATAAGAAATAAAAGCAGAAATAGATAAATGAAACTTTAAATAAATAAATATATTCTAAATGCACCAAATAAAGTAAAAAGGTGAACTTTACTTCGTTTTAAAATTTAATTGACCTTCATATTTATTTTTCCAGATCAGTTCCAATAAATTATATATTTTAACACATAATTGAAATTTTAATGTTTTTTAATACATATTTTACTTAGTTTTTCCTTTTACTTGTACATGTATTTGTGTCTCCTTAATGCTTAAATTGAATAATTTTTATAATTTTGTCCAACAAGTCTTTTTATTTCTATGTGTTGCATGTTTGTGCCGCAGCAGTTTAGCTTAAAGTTTAGTTAAAAATAAACACACAGGTAATGTTTTCCTCCTTGCCTTTGTTTTAAACTAAACTTTAAACTTTTAGCTAAACTGAGGCACAAACATGCAACACAGAAATAAAATGACTTGTTGAGAAAACATAAAATAATTAAGTATAAACATTTAAATGCATGTACAAGTAAAAGGAAAAACAATTAATATACATTTTAAAAAATTGTAAAATTTAAATTGTGTTCAAATATATGGACTAATTTGTTGGAACTAACCTGGAAAAATAAATATTAAAGTAAATTAAAATATAAAACAGGAGATAAAGTTCTCCTTTTTTAATTTAATTGGTGCATTTTAAGTGTGTTTATTTAATGGTTCATATAATTCTGCTTTTATTTCTAATGATGTCAGTGTTGGTCCTCCGTACTGCAGAAACCTGATAATCATCATATCAGGTGTGTTGGAGCAGCGGACCTCCAGGACCAGGCCTGGTATAAAGGATGTTAGTTGTTATTTTGCACCAAGGAAAAATACAGTAAAGAAATTGTTTTTCTAAACTAGTTAAACTTAGAATGGTTTTTACTAATAAATAAAATGCATCTAATGATCACAATAATCTGAAAAGAAATTGTCTCAAAAACTGAGGGCAGACACTTAGCACATTTTTCTCACTGCCGACCGTGTAGTCCTTACTTTTATTTTGTAATAAAGAAAACCTGGAATGACATTTGGAAAAAGTACTGCTACATAGTTGAGCTCTTTGAGGATCCAATGTACTTAAGCAGTCTTTACTTAATACAGTTTAGATTAAAACACAATTCCAGAGCACAAGTGGTTTTATTGAAAGTATTTGACAGTACTTGTTGCTCTTTGCTTCTCTTACAGGTGCAGGACTTTTTGCACCGCCTCCTTGTACTGCTGCAAGCTGCTCTCGTTATCTCCTTCGTTCTTCAGCCTCGTCACCGACTCCTTAAACTCCTGCACCTCTTTTCTTCCCAGGAGCTGCTCCCTCACTTCCTGCTCGTCCCCGTCGCCGGCCACTTTCGCGTGCAGCAGCGTGTCCAAGAGGTTCTTTTGGGACGGGCTGTCCTCCCAGCTGTACTCCTCCATGTCCGCTCTGGTCTTCTCAGCCTCCCAGGCCTCAATTTTCTAAAGAACGGGGAGGAAAAGAAAAGACGTGGCTCTTTAAAATCCATCAACACATCTTCGATTGTCCTCTAAAATATTTCTCCCCGTGCGCTGCCTGCCTGTCGTCACATTCCCTGGAAAACAATGGGCTCTGTTACGCAGCAGCTTAAAGCAGAGCAGTGACCTGTCCAGGTGTTTCAGATTAATGAGCATTACAGTGGGACATAACTCATCCTCATAAAACCCAGACTGCAGCAGGTCCATGTCCTTGTCTCCTCACTTTTAAACTGAAGACTTTCTCTCCAACCTTGGTTGTTTTTATTTGATCAATAGTAAAAATGTTTTCAGCCGTTATTAGACCTGTGATCCTGATACTCTCTAAGCCAGGGGTCCTCAAACCTTTTGGTTCTGGGGACCCCCTCATAAACCCCAGGGCTGCTTAAAAAATAATTTACTGTCATTTTAACCCCTAAATGCCACGAGGATTTTTTTTTTTTGGTTTGGTTTAGTACACAGCAAAAATGCCAGTGTTCATTTGATAATACACTGTTATTAACACTTTGTTTTAACACTGCTGAAATGTTAATGCGACACCCAATATTGTTGAATATTAAACACTGGTTGGTGTTAAATTAACAATAAAAAAATAGGTGTTTAAATTTAACATTTTCACAAATGTTATTTTAACACCAGCATGTGTGGACACATATAGACACTTTGGTGGGGTTGAAATTGGGTGTTAAAGGAAATTAAGGTGTTAAAAAGGCGCCATAAGATGCCAATACACCATATATTTGAGAGTGTAAATTTAACACTCAAAGTAAAAATCAAACTCTTCGTATTGTTGCTTTAACACTCAGTAGTTAGTAGAAAAGTATAATGGAGTCATCCTTCACACACCAGGACATACCTCTCACTCATGGTGTCGATTTATGGCCAAAAACACAAACTTAAACTTGAACAACTTGATCAAACTGAACAGGAAAACTAACCAGAACAACTCATTTTTACACTTATGAACTTCTTTAATAGTCATAAACTTACAAACACATCAGTTCTACAAGATTACCCAGCATGCCTTGCTGAGAAAATACCTGTCTGACATGAGGTGGAAGAGGGCGGGGCTTTTCAGGATACTTCTTTCAACACTGCATGGTGTCATATAACAACACTGTTAAGTGTTATATAAGACTTAACAGTGGGCAATACAACACTGAGGAAATCAACA